ATAATAACTACAACAGTGAATCAATAAAGCACTGACCCTCTACACGTTTGGCAGACGACCTTTTTTGAGAGTTGTAATTTGGAAGTTTTGCCATTGTACAAATCTTCAAGCGTGACCGTTAATGGATAGTTCATATCCGCGCCCTTGGTTTGCCTTCTTCTACCGCCACCTCCGAAGAATGATGCAAATGATCCACCCCCGCCCTCGAACAGCGACGAAAATAAATCCTCTGCGCCCGAAAAACCACCTGAAAGCAACATGAAATTATTTCAGCTCAGCGAAATAATAGCAGTTCGGATGAATTCTTAGCAATGACAAAAAAATCATAGAAATTTTGAAGATCTGAATGAATTTCCAACGAAAAAAATTGACCTCCACCACCGCCTTCTTTGAGTCCATCCATTCCGTACATGTCGTACGTATCCCTTCTGTCCTTATTACTCAACACTTCGTATGCAAATGAGATCTCTTTGAAACGATCACCATGTGCCGGATTTTTATCCGGATGATATTCCTTTGCCAAATGATGATATGCCTGAAAATTTTTTTGAACAAAAACGATGGTGATCAAAACTAATAAATGATAACAGTATGAATGAAGAGCTACATCAAAATACCTTTTTGATTTCCGACTCACTGGCGTTCGGCCTCACATTGAGCACGTCATATAAATAAGTATCAACGGGTCCATCACGCGACCGTGCACCGCCATTCATATGGTGAAAGAACATGATCAATTTATGTTTTTTTTAAAATCAAATTAAGCCCACAAAAACGTGAGCAATCCAAGCCAAGCTGAAAAAGATTCTTATCGATCACACTAAACAACCGGAACGCATGAACGTTTCAACTTCAAAACACAACAATACAACGACCACCGACGTTAATTATCATCGATTTTTATACGACGATGACACAACTCACAAAATTCAAACGGAATCTATCAAGTCATCACGCGTTACGATTCAAACTTCGCACAGTAACCATTCTTACACTTTCACAAACTTCTCATTCACATCCGCTAAAATCGATTCCTCATGCAATTTTCAAGTGTGAATAATCTGAATCACATTTTCTTCTATTTACACCCACTTCCATGCTCCATCGAATTTTCCAGGCTCGGAGCCGCTGGAATGACAAATACGAATCTACGGTGTGTTTTCGTTACAAAACGACAACTTTTCGAATGTAATACTGGCGAACCACCAATACGTCTGGCACACTGCGAAAGCGGTATGGCTCGTGCATTACGCCAAGTGCTAACGTGAATGATGATCACATCTCGAATTTGTTGAAAATATATATCTAAATTGCATATTTTCCGTCATAAAAGTCACCTTCGTATCGTTGTCTCGAATTGCACCTCCACACCTCACAATACCAACCGCACTCCGAATGCAAACGATTAAGCAATGATTAGGAAATGGAACGAGTTGAATTGTTTGATTTCAGTTTTAGAATTTTCTCGATGTTTGCTTTCAGTTTAAAATTAAAAAAAAAACGTGTGACTGCCGATGAAACTGTTACGAATTGCAAATGAACCATCTGAGAATAAGGTTCGAGAAGTCAAGGAAATGTCAGTGTTCAGCCACACAAATGCACTTCTGAAATTTCAGGATGGTGTTGAAAGCAGTGAAAAAGTTGAAGAGTGCAAAACATGAAGGTAGATCAAAGAAGAGAACCATTTCAAAAGGTGAAAAACAATTGAATGATGACATCGAGCACGAAATTTTTGATAAAACGAACAACGATGAAAGTGAAGAATCTCAAAAATTGACTAAACGCGTCGGTAAGAAAATTGTTTCCCTCTAATGATAATAATAACTACAAAAAATATTAATAAGGATAGTGACATGTCTGACTTAATGAATTGGCTTGCAATGATAATGTTCTCAGCAAATTTGACACCTTAAAAAGAGTCTCCTATCAGATTATGGTGCAAAAACTGTGATTTTTCAATTCAGTACTGCTAAACCGTGTTCGTTTTGTGTGTCCTCGTGTTATAAAATGAATATGTGAAAATTACAATTTGTTGAGGTGATAAACGGAAAAAGTTGAAGCGAACTGAGCAGACTTTGAAGAAAAGGAAACGCTCACAAGATGAAACAATCGTTGATGACGGTATTGAATCATCTTCGGAGCAATGCAAAACCTCTGCTGAAGATGTTCGAAGCGTTAAAATTTCCAATGAAGAAGAATTTGATGCGACTAAATTAAGAGGTCTTCGTAATTCGTATCTCATTTCGAAGCTTATGTTTTTGACAAGATTTTGAGGAACTCATTCATTCAAAAAATTCATTGCCCAAATATTTTCTCACATTTTTTCTCATTTCGCAGTTCAATTTGATGATTTTGGCTATAAATTTGATGAAAATGATTGAATGATTTGTGTAATATTCCATTTAGTTGACTGAAAAAAGAGGGTAATATTATATTTTATCAGCTATTTAAACCGTTTTCAATTTCACAATTGTGTTCATTTAAGAAATTTTCTATTTTATCAATGAAAAAAGTTTCTCTTTTTAGTTTTGAAGTATCGACTGAGTGATATTCATTCAGCATCACGTTGTTTATTTCTTAAAGTGGATCAGTCAGATCCGTCCGCCTTACTCGTGCACAACATACCTCCGTTTATTGCTGTCGTCAGTTTATGTTTTCTTATTAAGATGTGATTCATCGTATTGTAATGAGAATTACGCAATTTTTGGATGGTGAATCCAACGGATTTTTAAAGTTCCATGCTGATCTGAAGTTGGTAATGGATTGGAGTGTGGTGATAATAATAATGATAATGTGATGATATTATTCGAGTGCTCATAAAGAAACCAAAATTGAATTGTTTATGTTCAGGAATCAGTACAAACTCTCCTTGAGAATTCAATAGCAAAAGGATTCGAAATCAAACAATCAATTTTGAAACGATCAATGATAAAGGATAGCGACCCAAATGAGGTTCATTCATTCT